TGATTCGAAGGTTGGAATGTTTGATTGTTTGCAAGTTTGAAGGTTTGGTTGTAAGAACGTTTGAAGGTTGGAAGATTTGACAGATTATGTGAATCAATGTTATGATAAACGTAAGGCTAAAAATTTCAATTAAGTAAGGATGCAACCCCCCAAGGCTGCCAATAAAGTTACGTGCAAGGAATCCCAAAGGCTGTCACGTAGCCTGAGCCTAGGCTGCAACAAAGGACACCTCTTATTCTCCAATTGGGGTGGCGACACCATTCATTTTTGTACTCTTTCGCCAAGTCCAATGGCGCCCCCCTTACTGTCCAATCGTGATACATGCATGCAGATATGTAACCCCCTAGGCTGCCACCTAGCCTGCCCCTAGTCTGCACCTATACATGTATTTTGTAAGTCTCCTCCCATCAACTCCAATGGGCTTACATGCATTAATGCAAGGAATCCCAAAGGCTGTCACGTAGCCTGAGCCTAGGCTGCAACAAAGGACACCTCTTATTCGCCAATTGGGGTGGCGACACCATTCATTTTTGTACCCTTTCGCCAAGTCCAATGGCGCCTCCCTTACTGTCCAATCGTGATACATGCATGCAGATATGTAACCCCCTAGCCTGCCACCTAGCCTGCCCCTAGTCTGCACCTATACATGTATTTTGTAAGTCTCCTCCCATCAACTCCAATGGGCTTACATGCATTAATGCAAGGAATCCCAAAGGTTGTCACGTTGCCTGAGCCTAGGCTGCAACAAAGGACACCTCTTATTCGCCAATTAGGGTGGCGACACCATTCATTTTTGTACTCTTTCGCCAAGTCCAATGGCGCCTCCCTTACTGTCCAATCGTGATACATGCATGCAGATATGTAACCCCTAGGCTGCCACCTAGCCTGCCCCTAGTCTGCACCTATACATGTATTTTGTAAGTCTCCTCCCATCAACTCCAATGGGCTTACATGCATTAATGCAAGGAATCCCAAAGGCTGTCACGTAGCCTGAGCCTAGGGTGCAACAAAGGACACCTCTTATTCGCCAATTGGGGTGGCAACACCATTCATTTTTGTACTCTTTCGCCAAGTCCAATGGCGCCTCCCTTACTGTCCAATCGTGATACATGCATGCAGATATGTAACCCCCTAGGCTGCCACCTAGCCTGCCCCTAGTCTGCACCTATACATGTATTTTTTAAGTCTCCTCCCATCAACTCCAATGGGCTTACATGCGTTAATGCAAGGAATCCCAAAGGTTGTCACGTAGCCTGAGCCTAGGCTGCAACAAAAGACACCTCTTATTCGCCAATTGGGGTGGCGACACCATTCATTTTTATACTCTTTCGCCAAGTCCAATGGCGCCTCCCTTACTGTCCAATGTGATACATGCATGCAGATATGTAACCCCCTAGGCTGCCACCTAGCCTGCCCATAGTCTGCACCTATACATGTATTTTGTAAGTCTCCTCCCATCAACTCCAATGGGCTTACATGCATTAATGCAAGGAATCCCAAAGGCTGTCACGTAGCCTGAGCCTAGGCTACAACAAAGGACACCTCTTATTCGCCAATTGGGGTGGCGACACCATTCATTTTTGTACTCTTTCGCCAAGTCCAATGGCGCCTCCCTTACTGTCCAATCGTGATACATGCATGGGCTGCCACCTAGCCTGCAAGAGTGACACCTTTCATTTTTTGTACATGCATGCATGCATATATGTAACACCCTAGGCTTCCACCTAGCCTTCAAATGTGACACTTCGCAGGCATGCAAGCACCAGCAACCACTATATCAAATTTATTTGCCTATAAATACATACCATATCATACATCTCTCACACCCATACAAGTCTCACTCTCTGCTACGAAATATTTCATAAGTCTATCATACTCTCTATCTCTTCCTAAGTCTTTCATAATCTCAAGCATTTTAAACAATGGCTCTTCTAACAATGGGCGATACTCATAGAGGCACAAGGGAAAACATTTTCGCATTTGTAAGTTTCTTTTTTGGTTATACATTTTTCATACTTCAGATAACGCGTTGTTCTTCTTAATTAATCTTACACATGTTACATTATGAACTCAGGACACAAAAAGATTCAGAATCCGTTCGCACAACTACCTGGCTCCCGACCCATTTATCGTCCCATATCTGGAATACGCAGGTTTTGGACATGTCATAAAGATCTCCAACTGCACCATTGACTCGAAGTTCATTCTTGCAATGTTGGAAAGGTGGAGACCGGAGACCCATACATTTCACCTACCAATAGGTGAATGTACCATCACGCTAGAGGATGTGTACATGCTACTAGGTCTCCCTGTCGACGGTAAGGCCGTGAACGGGTCGGTTCAACAACCCAACTCTCAGTGTGAAGAACTGTTGGGCAGGGATATGGTAGAAGGTGGTGGTGCGAGAGGGCAGGGAATACTACTCACTGAGCTGAAAATTCATTATGCAAGTTTGGAATTAAATGAAAATTCCTCCGAGAATGACAGGGTAGTAAAAGCCAGAATTTATCTTATGATACTTTTTGGTACATTTTTATTTCCCGAAAGTACGGGAAATAGTGTAAATTTTATGTATTTACATTTACTAAGAAATTTTGAAAAAACAAGAAAATATAGTTGGGGTTCTGCAGTTTTAGTCCACCTATACAGTTCCTTGTGCAAAAACGCAGTCAAGGAAAAATGTACATTTTATGGGTGCGCTTTTTTACTACAAGCCTGGGGTTGGTGGAGGATGGAGTCCTTAAACCCCGTCAACAACAACACTTTCGGTTTCCCGTACGCAACAAAGTAAGTCATCAAGTTATAGCATTTATAACTATTCATCTCTTCCCCAAATATATGCTAAGAATAAAATGTTTCTCATTTCCTTTAGGTACTGCGTGAGGGGTATGGATTACAGCAAGAATCCAAGATTCAATGTCGCACTCTACCGCAATCTGTTGGATCACTTAGGCCCAGATGACGTACGTCGTAGCTTTTAACTTTTGTTCAATTAAATTATTTATACATTACTTTTGCGTTAACCTGATTTAAATTTTATCGCAGTTCGTCTGGAGACCATATTTGGGTTTGGGCCATGATCCAAACCCGGAGGATGCAGCAACTTGGACCGCGAAGACTGCAATCATTCGGTTCAACATTGTGGAGATGCACCACAGCGACTGTGTGAAGATGCAGTTCGGAATGCATCAAGAGATACCAAGTGATCCGACTTGTTTGTCCCCATGGCATCTTAAAAGGGTCGACGCCCAGTGGGGTCTTACCAACTGGAAAGACTTCGCTCCGAAATGGTGTAAGATGTGGCAGAGGCGTCACCGCTACGTCTTGCAATTCCCGGTTTTCCTTAATCAAGGTAATATGCGACACACGGATCAATATTTGTCTTGGTACAGGTCGGTTAGTAACCCTGAAATGCACGTGTCTCATCCAAGGTACTTGGTTTACCCACACACACAATGGGAACAACCCTCGTTTCCCCATCAACAAACCCAAAACCCATCAACCTCCCACCAACCCCCAAGAAGAAACAGACCCACAAACACCCAACAACAGTCCCCACCACAACACAACTACACTCAAATGCCACACAACCAACCACAATCACCACCACACTACCAATACCCCGATATGCCTCACACCCAACCACAATACCAATCCCAATACTAGCACACCCGCATACCCCACACACAATTTCAGTCTTCCGCATATCCCAATATGGGTCCCTCAACATCCAGCCTTAGCCCTGATATGGGAATGTCGGAAGATTACGAACAAACCGACCCAACCTACCATCAACCACAATATCACCAAACCACCCAACATCCTCAATACCAAACACCCCAAGATATATTTCCTTTCTACCCACCGTACTCAGACGATCAATGCTACAGACCCACTATGGAACCCCACCCACCGCCAACACGACCAAACTTTGAGGGTATGGGTAACCGACTGTACCAAAGCGAATCTTCTAGATATGGAGATCTGACTGATTTTATGGATCCGGATCGCATTGACTTCGCTGGGCCATCGACCTTGCCGCAACAGGAAACATGACGACACCCAGCACGAGAAAGGCGAGGACGGGGATGTGGAACCCGGGGTCATTACCGGGTTCCGGGGGATCACTGATTTATCTGTTTTTTTTTCCTGTATTTTTTTATCCATTTTTTTAATCTGTTTTTTTATCTGTTATTTTAATGTAATACAGTTGGATGTAATTATTTTTTTTTAATAAAAAGTCCATTTTGTTGATCCTCTGTCCAACACACAACGCACCGGAGAAAAAAAATCACATTTTGCCCTAAAATAACACCTAGGCGCCATCTCACTTGGCTTAGGGCATGCCCTAAGCACATAGGCGCCAAGTGAGATGGCGCCTCCCCTTAAAATATAGGTGCATGCGCCATTTCAGATGGCTCCTCCTTTGGGGAGTCATCTGAAACATGGTTATTTGCGTATTTTTTTCCGAAACGCAGTTATTTGCGAAATATTATTTTAATATTTGATTATTAATAAAAAAAATTCCGATGTAAAATCTATAAAAAGATAAACATGTCTTTTTTATTCTAAATAAAATAAAATTCTAAGAGTGGGAATCAAAGCTCAAACTCTGAATAACTTTTTAAATCAGGCAAGTTATAATACTATTGATTATTTAAGGCAGAAAAGAGAAAAAAGCTTGACATTGTTTTATAAAATTCGATTCCGTTTTATCACCATATAAAAAATTCCTTTGGTATATTGTATAGTATATGAATGATTTCTTGCAGGATAATAGTATGAATCATTCTTTATTTGCATGACAAAAACATATTATTAATAGTAATGATACTAATGATCGTTTTATTATGATTCTATGTGAGTTTTAAACTATATCCATTAAAGTTACAAGCTTTTAGAACTGAGCTAATAACTTGGATATTATTATTAGTATAACTCAACTTATAGTTTATTCTTTTTTTTAGCTATAATATAATAAGGAGAGGCTACAACATTGATTAAGTTGTAGTTTTTAAGTAAGACTTAGCTATATTACCATCTGCTCCTTTGGGATAGAAGCCACCAGGGACACTTTCATTTCCACCATATACTATCCTCAATATTTCAACTGGAGTTCTTGAATATGAGGTTGAATATTCATCACCAGCAAGTATGTTTCCTGAAATTTTGCCTTCAGCACCTTGCATTATAGGAACCTCTAGACCCTCATCTTTTATGCCATTGTTTCCTAACTTATTTCTAAGCATTGAAATACGATTAGTGAACTCTTCAACAGTTATTCTGTATGGTAACACCCTTAACTTTCTGCGTTCGTATAACAATGTTCTTATAACAGCGTCTTGTCCTGCCTCTATTCCCAAAAGACTTGCAACTAGCTGTAACAAATATGATTATATTTGAAACATTAAATTCAGCATATGATTATCTTTCTCAACTAATTAATAATAAGAAGAATTGGACAATTTTAAATTCACAACAGGTACATTTGATTTTGATTTGAAAATTGGTAATTACTGGACAGAATAGTAAAGTATTAATTTTTGAAGTACTCGCCAATTTTTTGTTGTCCTTTACGATGTTATATATATATATATATATATATATATATATATATATATATATATATATATATATATATATATATATATATATATATATATATATATATATATATATATATATATATATATATATATATATATATATATATATATATATATATATATATATATATACCCTCAAGTGCATGTTACTAAATCACTCTTTCAAAATAAATAAGTGGATGTATATTAGCCTCTCTTATATGTATTTGTTAAAATATATTACCTATTTACTTTTTAAAAGGAGTGTGTTAAATTCATTAAATACACTCTAAGGTGTATGTGGCTAAAACACACTTTAATAAAAATAAGAGTGTATATCATAACAAAATATCTCTCTCTCTCTCACACTCTCTCTCTCTCTCTATATATATATATATATATATATATATATATATATATAAATATACCCTATGATGCACGTTACTAAAACACTTTTCAAAATAAATAAGTGAACGTATGTTAGCATCTCCTATTTACTTTTTAGAAGGAGTGTGTTAAGAATTACAGTAATAGCTAAACACTCATTAAATATACAAAGGATATTTTTTTCTTTTAATAACTTGTACTAGAGATATACCCTATGATGCACGTTACTAAAACACTTTTCAAAATAGATAAGTGAATGTATGTTAGCATCTCCTATTTACTTTTTAGAAGGAGTGTGTTAACAATTACAGTAATAGCTAAACATTCATTAAATATACAAAGGATATTTTTTTCTTTTAATAACTTGTACTAGAGATATACCCTATGATGCACGTTACTAAAACACTTTTCAAAATAGATAAGTGAATGTATGTTAGCATCTCCTATTTACTTTTTAGAAGGAGTGTGTTAACAATTACAGTGATAGCTAAACATTCATTAAATATACAAAGGATATTTTTTTCTTTTAATAACTTGTACTAGAGATATACCCTATGATGCACGTTACTAAAACACTTTTCAAAATAGATAAGTGAATGTATGTTAGCATCTCCTATTTACTTTTTAGAAGGAGTGTGTTAACAATTACAGTAATAGCTAAACATTCATTAAATATACAAAGGATATTTTTTTCTTTTAATAACTTGTACTAGAGACCAAAAAAAATATTTCACATTGTAAATACAAATATAAAAAAAGATAGAGAATATATATTTTTAATAGAAAATAAATGGGTATTTTTGTATTTTAAATAACTTGTGTTAGTAGAATATATATATATATATATATATATATATATATATATATATATATATATATATATATATATATATATATATATATATATATATATATATATATATATATATATATATATATATATATATGTGTGTGTGTGTGAAAATTAAAGGATATTTTTTTCTTTTAATAACTTGTACTAGGGACAAAAGAATATTTTCACATTGTAAATACTAATATAAAAAAAGATAGAGAATATATATTTTTAGTAGAAAAAAAGATATTTTGTCTTTTAAATAATTTGTATTATGAACAAAAGAGTATTTTCACATTGCAAATATTAATAGAGGAGAATGAGAAAAAGAATATATATTTTTATTGAAAAATAAAATTATATTTTTGTATTTTAAATAGTTTGTATAAATAGAAAAATAAAATAGTATTTTCTCCTTTTAAATAACTTATATTAGAGACAAAAGAGTATTTTCATATTTTAAATATTAATATAGGAGAGTGAGAACAGGATTATATATTTTTAGTGAAAAATAAAAATATATTTATGTATTTTAAATAATATATACGAAAAACAAAAAGTTATTACGTGATTTAATGAGAGACAAATATTTGAGATTTTATCTTATCCCCAATACTGATTTTGTTCTGTTTCGTAAAAATAATTTAAATCAAATGCAGAACAATTAAAGTTATAATGTCCAATCCCTTATTTTTGTTGCAAATCAAACGCATATGACATCCAATATGTACAATCATGTTTTTTCACTTAAGCACTTCACTCTCAACAAAAGTGTAGATATATTGTGATATATTTTCACTAAAGTATTTCATCTTTATAAATCTTATGTTTGACGAATTGTGTAGTGATATAACCTAATAGCATAATTTCGTTTAGAGTATTCAAAAAGAATTAGTGACTTCAGGTTAAACTCAAATAGTATCGATGGAATTTTCCATTATAAAAAAAAGTGAAAGTTGATCTGATCTTGATGTCTGATCAACCTTAAGTAAAGAGATTAGTTCAGTTTCGCTGACTCAACTTTAACTCATATGATGAGTTCAATTAAAGATCTTACTCACTCTAACAAATTCGTTAATAAATTTAGGTAACTCAATTATAAGTTTTACCTTCTTGAATGTAGGATCTTGAAGGTTAGAACTAGCTCCAACATATCCAGTGAGACCAACATAAGGAATTATATATGATGCAAGTAGATAGTTAATGGAATTTGCATAAGCGTCGAAAGGTGGACGCAAAGGATTCCCAAAGGCATCATCCATCACTTTTGCAAACGATTCCTTGCTAATATTTAACAATGGCCTAGGAAACCCTTTTACTACACTCTTTATCACCCTGCAAAAATTATGATCAATAAAACTATACTTTTAAACTCATGAACAATGCTATTTGTAATGAAACAAAGTCATCACAAACTTGTAAAGATTAAAATATAAAAAAAACCTTAAATGTCCAATTTCCTGTAAACCAAATTGTGAGATGACATCTTTAGTGAAAGGGTCCAAAGAGGCCATTCTGGCACCTATAGGAGGGGGTCCTCCTTGGGCTAGTCCTGGTGCAACAACATCCAACCCATTACCAGTTGCACCATACAAGAAGAACTCTGCTTCTAAATATTCTAAATTTAGGGCAAACTCCAAAAGATCAATATCAGATTTTGTGGTTTCATTGGTGCTAGCAGAGAATGATATAGGTATGAGAATGGTCGTAAGCAAAAGAACAATGGATAAAATGTGATTCAACATGTTTTCGGGATATATATTTTATTTTTGTGTGATGATGTACATATTATATAGGCTTCATACTCAATGGCTCAATTGATAATATTGGTTTATTTGGGGTTGAAAAATTAAATGCAATTAATAGGACAAAAAGTTTTTTCTCAGCATTAAAAAATATATAAACAAGTTATATAATAGTTTGGTTAATTTGCACGTGTATTATATAAGTTGGTTAGAACAAATAAAGTCAACATGAGAGAGTTGGGACCTATAGATTATGAGAATTTCTTTTTTCATTTAATAAGGGTGAAAATCACTAGTGAAAATCTAAAAATATCTTTTGAAAATATATTTTTGAATTTATCTATCAATATGTTTTGGATGTGCATCTCCGAAAATATCATATTTTCATGTTTTAATACTTAAACGTTTGATTTGAAATCCTTGAAATAGTTTTAGATATGCACATCGGAAACATATGTTGAAAGTGAGTTAGGAAGTGTATTTTCTAAACCATCTTTTCCATATTAGAATGCTGCATGGTCACATATTTCAACTATTCAATTCATTTTCTATTCCTCCATAACCAAAACTCTCATAAACTTTCAATTATTTTCAATAGATTTTTTGTCTCCAAATCAAGTTTCAAGTGTTTGACTATACCAAAGAGAATATAAAAAACTGTAATTTGATGTAAACTTCTAAAAATGACACAATAAAATTTATTTTATTTCATTCTAAAATTTGGATGTAAAGAGATAAAGAAAGAGAGATAAGGATTGAGAATTTATTTTATTTCATTCTATAATTTAGAGTTATGTTCAATTTTCTCACACTTAAGAAATTTTAGTTATAATTTGAATTATTATAATTTTATTAAGGTATCTTTTAGCTTAAATGACTTTACCTTAAATCTCTCAATCACAAAAATTACTAAGATATCTTCATCGATAGTATTAGGAAAAAAGACACTAAATTAAGATAGTATTAGAAAAAAAGACACTGAATTAAGAGAGTGAATTTCTTTTTCTTGGATAGAACCCTTCAGACGTAGGTGATATTGCACCGAACCGAGTTACTAAATTTTTTGAATTCCTTCTTTAGTTTTTCCTATTTTTCCGCTACTCATTTACTATCATATTGTCACACACATTGCTTTAACATTGTGTGTGAAATCTTTCTACCGACCGAACAAAATTTCATTTGACATAAGCAAGCACCATGTTCTATTTAGGTGTATTCCAAGATATCTATTATTTTTAAGATGGACAATACCAAAGAAGGAGGATTTGTTAACCGTCTTACAATACTTTATGGCACTAATTATGACTATTGAAAGGCACACAAGTTTGCTTTTAATAATTATATCGACAATAAGACTTGGAAAGAGATTATCAATAGACGAATTCCTTCAACGATCATTGTTGAAGATAGTTATGTATTTGTGTAGCCTTAAAAAGATTGGACAATTGCTAAAGATTAAGATGATCTTGGGAATGAAAATAATGAAGATAATAGTGACAATAATCTATCAGATGACACTTTTGCTGAAGCTAACAAGACATTGTACCTTAAATGGACTGAAGAATCACAAGTTGTTGAAAAGTAGAAGGAAAAGATAAAAGAATTTTTTCATGACAAAATCATCTCATGCTCAGTATCTTAGAGTTGAAAGAAGAAGTTGGATATCTCAATTCTAAGCTAGATGAAATGACCAAATCGTTTCGCTCGTTGAACTCAGGGACTGAGATCCTTGAGCAAATTCTAGGTATAGGAAAGTCATCAAAACACATGAACGCTATTATATATATCAGGGAGTTATCAAATTTAAAGTATATGTTTGTTACATCTATTTAGAAAACATAATTCACGATGTTAAGTAACAAGTCTTAACATCATGTCAAACATAATTATCAGTGCAATAATTTTGTCTACACCAAACCCCCTTGAGTTTTTCACTATTATGGTTGATGTGGTCACATTCAACCGTATTATAAATTGTAAGGTAGACAATCATATTACCAACAAATGTTTCACTAGTGGAATGAAAAGTCTAAAATGTATCCTCGATTTGTTTGGTGTCCCAAGCCTAATATTCTGGTTCATATTTCTTGTACCTCCCTCGAGGTCTCTTCTCGTGTAGATTGGTATTTTAAAAGTGGTTGCTCTAGATACATGGCAAGAGAGAGAAACCATCTAAAAGACATCAAATCATATTCCAACAATTATGTTACATTTCTTTATGGGGCTAAAGGAGAAATTATTGGAAAAAGGAAGTTAGGCTATCCTGGTCTTCCTTACCGTAACAATGGTTTACTTGTTGATGGTATCACTGCTAATCTTATTAGCATCAGTCAACTTTGTGATCAAGAGTTATGTGTCACGTTCGATAGTATGGAATGCATAGTTATAGATAAACAACACACTAAACTTATGAAAGGATTCATATCTTTAGATAATTGCTACATGTGGTCACCTTTTGATAAGATCTAACCTCATACTTGTCATATCCTAAAAAATGTTGAGAAAGAGAATAAATTGTGCACTAATAAATATAAATATGTAAAGAGGAAGAGGATTATTGCTAACACTATGGAGCAAAATGTCGAAGATCGTGTTACTGATATCATGGATAACATTGTAGTTAAAGAAACTAAGAAATAACACATAAAGCTTATGAGTGTGATGAATATTATTTCTAAAAGACTATTGTTGGCATGCCTGATCTCAAGATTGAAGAAGGTAACATTTCCGGTGAGTGTCAAGTAGGAAAGAAAACCAAGATGCCTCATAAGAAGGTTCAACATCTTACCACTATATGAATGTTTGATTTACTTCACATGGATCTCATGGGACCCATTTAAGTTAATATTCTTGATGGAAAAAGATATGTGTTTGTGTGTGTTCATGATTACTCCAAATACACTTGGGTTAAATTTATTCGGGAGAAGTTATATACCTTAGCTATTTTTAAAGCTCTTTGTCATTGTCTACAATGTAGAAAAGGAGAAGAGATTGGGATGATCATCCGCATTCTAAGTGATCATGGTAGGGAATTTGAGAACTCAAATTCATATACTTTCTAGAATACTAAAAGGATTGATCATGAGTTTTCTACTCCCATTACACCTCAGTTGAATGGAATTGCTGAAAGGAAGAATTGTACCTTGAAATAAATGGCTAGAGATATGCTTCATGCTAGATATCTTTTGCATCATTTTTGGACAGAAGCAATGAATATTTCTTATTTTATTCACAATAGAGTAAAAAATTAGACTAGGTATGCAAGGTTACTCATTATGAAATATGGAGGGGGAGGTAACTAAATGTGAATTATTTTCATGTATTTGGCATTATTTTCTACAGCAACGGTCGGGTGTATTGCATTTATAGTGGAATCCATAAATGTATGACGAAATCCATAAATATTAGTGTTAATGTTTTTTCAAACTTAAGTCACTCTCCATGAAGCTGAAGATTCTAGTCATAATATTGAGTGCAATGTTGCTGACAACATAGCAAACAACTTACAGTCTGTTGAAGAAGATGGAGATTCAGATGATGAAGTTAATGCTACTAAAAGAAAAGAAACATCAACCATGATTAATAAGGATCATCATATTGAAAACATTACATGAAATCTGGATGAAGGAATCACTTCACGAAGAAAAGATTCGGTCAATATACATTTTATTTCAAAAGTAGAACCCAAGAATGTGAAAAGGGTTATCAATGATGAATTATGGGTCAATGTTATAAAGGTAGAACTTGTTCAATTTGAAACAAATGAAGTATTAGAACTTGTTCCTAAATAAAATTCAGCTAATACCATTGGAACAAAATGGATTTACAAGAATAAGTCTGATGAGAATGGAAATGTTACTAGAAATAAAGCACTTCTTGTGGGACAAGGTTATACTCAAATCGAAGGGGTTGATTTTGATGAAAATTTTGTGCTTGTTGCACATCTAGAAGCCATCATATTGTTGCTAGATTGGTATTGTCCATTTAAGTTCAAACTCTACCATTTGGACATGAAAAGTGCCTTCCTCATTGGGTACTTGAATAAGGAAGTCTCCATTGAGTATCCAAAAGGATTTATCGATCCTTGTCTTCCCAATCATGTTTTCAAGCTAGGAAAGCCCTATATTGACTCAATTAGGCTTCCAGTGCTTGGTATGATAGACTCATAAAATTTCTTACTAAGCATGGTTGTGCTCGTGGAGGAATTGAAAAAACTCTATTTATGAATAAGGACCATGAGAATCTTATGATAGCTCAGATTTATGTTGGAAACATTGTGTTTGGAGGGATGTCAAAAAAGATGGTAGATCATTTTGTTCAACAAATGCAATATGAATTCAAGAGGAACATGGTAGGCGGGCTTACCTATTTTCTTGATTTTCAAAAGAAGCAAATGAAGAATGGTATTCTTATCTCCCAAAGTAATTGTACTAGAAATATTTTGAATAAATTTGGGCTTGAGAATGAAGGAAATTAACATTCACCAATTAACACTCTTGTCAAGCTCTCTAAAGACGAACAAAGAGTGACTGTTGATCAAAGCCTCTACATGAATATGATTGGTAGCCTCTTATACCTCACTGAAAGTAATCCTCGTATATAAATTATTAAAAATATGGTTGCATGTTTTTCCTTCGGTGTACTGGAACTTTTATTGGTCCACACTTCTTAGTAATAATTTCACTTGCATCTTTCATCCCAACAAGGAAAAGTTATTGTGTTTAAATTTTCAAAAGACCATATTTTTCTGTTCTCACTTATGCATTTTAAACTAATATCTAAATATCAAGTTCCTCTACAAAGTTCTTTGAATCACTGTGAAATAATGGTAGGAACAGGAAATGGATGAACACTTATGGTAATGTAAAGAAGAGTTCAAAGAAGAAAAAAGACACGTTGTTATTATGAAAGCTCATGGAGTTCGTAACGAATAAAGGAAAGGCTGATGGCAAGTCTCGAGGTGTTCTTCTCTCTCCAATCCTAAGGATATTCAAGGTAAA